GCCCTGACCTGCAGTCGATGAGCAGAGAGTGGCCTTCCTTGCCCATCACGGATATGAACTGGTCCATGATCCCACAGGGCATCTCAGCAAACGTGTGCTCTGCCTTCTGGCACGCCAGTGCCTTGGCTACCAAATCACCATCATCTGTGCCAGAGTGGAGACACACAAGTTAGCAGCTCCAGGACCCTGGCCCCTAGTCTTGGAGCAGGGGGGGGCAACATGGAGGTAAAGGGTTGTTTTCCCATAGAATGGGGTTTTGCAGCTGCAGGTGCTTGCTCCTGCACCACTGCATGCCATCCATGCTAGTGTGGGTCCCCAGATCCAGCTGGACATGATAATTTAACACTGGTATCTCAGATCTCTCAATTTTTGGGGACATCGGGGAGGAGATGCTCCAAGGGGAACATCCTCTCATCCCCCTGGCCTGTCCCAGGGGTGGTCCATGGATTTTAGAGGTCTGGGCAGCTCAGGCTGGATGAGCCAGAAGAAACACACAGTCACAGCAGTGCCTACTCTGGCTGCAGTGGGGAGTTGTGACCCACTCCACAGCAGCGTTTCCCCAAGGGCTGTGGGATCTTGCTAAGGGCAACCCCTCATCCCAGCTCCCACCTGGAAACAGAGACACCGGGGGTCAGGACTGGCTGCTGCCTTACCAGGGCAGAGCTGCTGGAGGAAGGTGTAAGTAGCCACCTCCAGAGCAGCTGAGCTGGAGAGGCCCCCGCCCAGGGGGATGTCACTGGCGACCACGGCACTGAACCCTGGCACGGCACCACCTGTGGGAAGAGAAGGGAGGAGGGGGGCTGTGAGCCCCTGCAGGGCTGAGGGTGCCCCACAGCTCACGGGGAACAAGAGCAAGGAGCCCCTGCCCAACATCCCACTTTAAAACACTGGGTGACCCACGGCAGAGCGTGACCCAGGCACCTGCTCCCAAACACAGGAGGCTTTGGAGCTGAGAGCATCTCTGCTGGAGCCTGGTCCCGGCAGAGCTGCAGGTTTGCAACAGCGCTGGAAGAGCCCCTGGAGCGCACCCAAAACCGGGTGCTGAACACCAGCCCCTGCGAGGGGGTCTCTGCCCCACCCCTCAGCCTGGGTCTTACCCCGGTAGTGCTGGATGACGCCCTTGACGTAGTTGGCCCAGCGAGGCCGCCCCGGGCTCAGGGAGCTGCCGTGGTGGGGAGCTGGGAACTGCACCCTGTGGGGCTCATCCGCCTCCGCCGAGGTGGTGAGGATGGAGATGGTCCCGTCCTGCGTGGGGGATCCCACCAGCACCGTCCCCAGCTGCAGAGCCTGGGGGTGGGGAAGGTGGGCTCAGACCCCTTGACATCCCTTGGAGTATCCCCATGGGTGGCAGAGGACAGTGGTGGCTGCTTCCGACTCACAGCTGGAGCACCCAACACATGTTCCCCTTAACTCTGCCTCCACAGAGCCCCCAGTGTATGGTCTGGCTCGGCACAGAATTAAACTTTCTGGCTACTTATTGCCACACAGGAACAGTCTTCCTGCTGAATGTTGTGATGGACCCCCCCCCCAGCTCAGTGCCAGGGTGCTGGCTGTCGGGCTCCGGGGGAGTGGTAATCACTACAAGCATGGGAGAGGCTTCAGGAAGTTTTCTTGCCTGCCAGGGAATTCAGCTGACCTGCTCCCACGCTCTTCAGCCTCACAATAATTAGCTGTATGTTTGATTTAGGACTGAGCCAAAGGGAGCTCGAAGGAGCTCAGAAAGAGCAGGAAGCTCCTGCTGCTCCGAACCACCTCCACCACCAAAACATCGCTCTCCGTGAACAGGAAATTGTTTGACCGGCTTGCAGAAAAGAGGTGGTTGGGAAGGGGAAAATCACATTCCCCCTGTAGTGAGTGAGGAGCTGCTCTGCGGAGCCCCTCGTGCTCCGGATCCTGCTGCGAGCTCCGGACTCGGCGGGGGGATCCCGCAGGGTCCTCGACTGAGGGACACATCCCCGAGGTAGGGGACATCCTGGGGCGAGGTACCCCCCGTGGGCTTTCAGAGGGGACCCGGAAGGGTGACATGGCGGGATGCCGGGGCCGGGGATCCCAGGCTCTTACCATGGGCAGCACGAAGCCGCCGTTATAGTCGGTGTGCTCGCCGATGAGGTTGACCCGGCCGGGGGCCCACGCCGCCAGCACCGCCGGCACCCCGAAAGCCGCTTCGTGCGCCCGGCGGGCAGCCGCCAGCAGCGGGGACGGACCGGGACCCACCGGCTCTGCCATGGCCGCACCGCACCGCCCACGACCGTCCCGCACCTCCCCCGGGTTCGCACCGCCCCCGGGTTCCGCACCGCCTCCGGGATCCACACCGCCCCCGGATCCCGCACCGCCCCCGGGATCCCGCACCGACCCGGAATCCGCACCGCCCCCGGGATCCGCTCCCCCCCCCGAGCCTTGCACCGTCCCCGGGTCCCGCACCGCCCCTGAGCGCCCCGCACCCTTCCCAGGGTTCTGGGAAAGGCTGGTCGTGCGTGGGCAGCCCTATGGGCAAGGCGAGAGCTGGCCCGCACACACCCCGTGTGTACCTACGGCGGGGCCAGCGCCGGGGCTTTTTAACGCATATATCCAAATCCGTATCGCAGAGCCTGTCCTAATATATGTACAGATAAATATGTGTCTGTTTGCACGGGTGCCTCTCTTACATATGCGGCTTCTGCCGATACAACGTATGTAACATATATATGTATCGATAGATGTCTGTGTTATCCCTGTATACGTCAGCGTCCGTGCTTTTGCTATATGCTCAGGTACACACACCTGTGTGTGAGGTTCCCCCCCCCGGGCCACTCCCGGGGCGGGGCCCGTTACCGGTTCCCGTCCAGCCGCCGCCGCGGGACCGCTCGGCCCGGGGGGACGAGCCTATGGCGGGGAAGGAGCCGCTGCTGAGCGCCCTTAAAGGTGAGCGTGGGCCCCTCGGGGCTTTTCCTGCCTCTTCCAGCAGCGCTGTCCAGGGACCGGCCCTTGGCCGCGCACCCGTACCAGTCTGACCGGACAGACGGCGGGGCCGGGCTGGAGCTCCCCGGGCCGGGGCTCCCTGGACCAGGGACTTTGAGGAAGTTTACCCGAGTTCCTGCCCGTTGTGGCAGCCGGAGCCGGGGAGGGTCGAGCCCTGCCGGGGTGTTGGGCACCCCGCTACCACCATTCCCCCCGCCCGGGACTGTGCAGAGCTGCTCCCGTGGGTGCCCCCCTGCCCTTCCCCCGGCTGGGGCACCCACGGGTGCTGCCTTTTCCCTCACTGAAGGTGCGGTGCTGCAGCTGCGGGAGGTCGGGGGGCCCTGCACGGACACCTCGCCGCACCTCGTGTCCCTCTGCCAGCGGCTGGAGAGCATCCTGCGCAAGGGGCTCCGACGTGAGTGACTCTTCGTGCCCGGGAGGGGGGTGGCAGCTCCCCGGGGCCCGCGGCGAGGGGCCTCGCGTTCCCTTTCTCCCGCAGAACCGGCTTGGGGCTTCCGGAGACGGGATTACTGGCACTGGCTGGAACAGCTTCCCGCGGGGACCAGCGGCAGGTGAGCGTCCCCGGGCAGGGCTGGGATGGAAACCTGAGCTATGGGGGTGTCTGTTGTGACATACTCATCCCAAAGAGCCCCGGTGCAGGGAGGATGCTCCCGGGCGCCGCCAAAGGTGCTTTCCCTCTCCCCGAACAGGCCGACCCCTCTCTCCATGAGCATCCAGAGAGCCGGGGGCTGTGAGCGGACACGGACGGCCCAGGGCCGCGGGCGGTACTTCCTACGCTTGGCCCTGCAAGGGAAGGTGCTGGCGGTGGCCGTGAGGGAGCTGGCACAGACCCCCGGACTCCTGGAGGTGCAGCACGTGGTGCAGTGAAACGGGCCCACATGGGCAGTGAAATGGCAGAGTAACGGTGGCGTTTCACTGTGTTTCAGTTTTATGATCCAGAGAGCTCCATCCTCGGCAGTGAAGGTCTCCGGGGTAAGATGGTGGCGCATCCAAGGTGGGATGTAACCTGTGTTATGGCAGTGCACTGCTGCAGGGGAGGGGGAATAGTCCACTGTGATTTTTCTAGTCCAAATTTAGTGCTGGAATCTAAATATGCTGCTGCAGCGATGGAAAAAGAGGTGTAAATATTTAAACAGGGTTTGAATCTGTCTCGAGTTGGTTTTAGTGTCATGGGATAGGGAAACGGCTCCTGAAGGGTCTTCCAGTGTTATTCCTTCCTATGTTTAAGCAGACCTAGTGGTCTGGCTTGAGGGGAGCCCATTATGGCTGGGCCTGGGCTGAGGGGTCGCACAGGGGTTTTAAATGGCTGTATTGCCTCGACAGGCTGCAGCACTCCATCCATCTGCAGCCGTGCTCCTTGAGGGGGCCAGGCCAGGGTGGAAGCCTTTAATCTTTTGATTGTGATAAATAACCCCATGTTAAACCTGTACATCAATGGTTTATAAATCACCCGCGCTGCTGGTGCATGAGCAGATTGTAGACCCAGCAGAGTGATTGCAAGGCTTGTGCAGGAGAGCCTGGGCAGCTTTGCTTTGCTTCTAGGGTGAGAAATGGAGAGCGAGTCACTCGTCAGCAGCGTTTGCTGCAAGCTTTGGTCTGAATTAGGGCAAAGCAGGTGCCAAGCCACACCTGTGCCGGCAGTGGGAGCCGGGGATGAGCCTCCAGCAGCAGCCTGGGTGCTGTGGTGCTGGAATGCTCTCAAGGCCTCAATCCCAGGGCTCATTAGTTACACGGAAAACGGCTTTATTCTGTCCTCTGCCATGTCTCTGTGAGGCTGTAGCTGCCAGAAACCCTGCAGTGACACTGCTTCTCTGTCCCCATCCCTCCGCAGAGCCTTTCCTCTCGCTGCTGCTGGTGCTGACAGAGATGGATTTCTCCCTGGATCTGCAGGTGTGGTGATGAATCAGGGGGGTGGTGGCTCCCAATGCAGGGCCCCAGCCCCTTCCTGGCGGGACTGATGGCACTGGCACTCCTTTGTTTACAGAATTGCAGCTTCTTGGACGAGAGCTGGCTGCTGCCGGTAAGGACTCATCGCTCCCCGGAGCCGTCCTCCCGCCACATGGCCCTCGCTGAGACATCAAATGAGGGAGATAAGGAATGATTTGGTGGGGAGGGACTGCCACACACCTGGGGTGCATTGGCTCAGGTTCACCAGCACGAGCAGAGCTGCCTCTGCCACCGAGGTGGGATCCTGCCAGGTGCCTGGGCTGTCACCAGGAGCACATCCCAGCATTCCTGGGAGTAAAACCAAGCAAGAGTAGTACCCAGGCCTAAATTGCTGCCATTAAGTGAAGTTTTCCCGTGCTCCCTTCCCTGATTTCTTGCCCAAAAAAATCCCCATTTCCCTGGGCTGACACAGATTACGCGTCAGTTGGTTTCGCTCTTGGTTTGCTCGGTGAAACATCAGTGTGTTACTGAGAACAGCAGGGATGCCTTTATGTCTTTTAAAGATGAAGAGCATCCCTCCACTGCCCTTTTAACCCAAAAGAATCCCCAGAAAGCTCAAGGCGGCTTTGGGGGTGCTCACGGTGTGCTTTGAGCTGTGGTGCTGCTGCAGAGCCGGGGATCCTGCTGGGTTTTGGATGTTTCTGACAGCAAGTGCCCCTGGCCAAGCTGGCCGTGTTTCGGGTCCCTGGCTAATGCGATGTGACAGTAAGTGCTGCTGCAAACAGCAGCAGCTTTGGGGAGGGGCGGCCACACTCCCCTGGCTGTGTGGGGACATGTGGGGTGAGGGAGAAGGGCTCTTGGCTAAGGGTTCACCTGCTGCTTTGCCCTCCCATCCGTGGAGCAGTTTTGTCCCTTCAGGGTCTGGGCACAGCCGAGTGCTGAAAGAGGGCAGGGACAAGCAGCCGCTGATGGTCCCAGCTCCGCCTGGGGCACTGTTGGCCAGGCTCCCAAAACCCTGGTTTGGCATCAGTGCCAGAAATGATCCAGGGCATGGGATCCCAATTCTCCCCCTTGTCCTGGTCATGCTCCTTGGATGTCCCATGGCCATTGCCAAAGCCACTGTCACTGGCCCCTCTCTTCCAGGTGTGCAGCACTTACGAGACAGTCCCATGCCGAGCGCTGGGGATGGTGCTCAGGTAGGAGCCTTTGATCCTACTCTCCAGAGGGATCTGGTCACCACAGCACTCAACCCCCTCCCCCAAAAAAGGGAGATAAACACCCTGTGAGGGTCTCACCGGTACCTGCTGTCCATGAGGTGGCTTTTACCTGCTTCTTTGCATGGGTGAAATGTCATGGGTGGTACAAAAGGGCTGGGGGAGCCAGGCAGGGTCCCTGGGGCTGAGCCGGGGCTCGGCCACACCCCCAGGTATGTGGAGGGCCGAGTCTTTGTCACCAAGGTGCTCCCTGAGAGCCAGGCGGAGGTGGACGAGGTGGTGCTGGCCGGTGACATCCTGGATGAGATCAACGGCTGCTCGCTGAGATACGCCCACAGCGGGCAGGTGGGTGGGCAGGGAGGGCCAGGGTGGCTCCCCCTCCCCTGCCCCCCATCCTACCCTTTGCTTCCCCTCTCTCCCTCCAGGCTGGGGACATCCTGCAGAAGCTGAAGGGACAGCCACTCATCTTCCGCCTGCTCCGGTGGCGGTGGCACGACGGGCAGGTCTATGAGCCACTGCTGCCCTACCTGAAGGTCCTGAAGGAGAAGGAGCCCCATTTCCAGCTCCAGCACAGCCCCCGGCACAGGGGCGAGGGGGAGCCACGGCAGCTGCGGGGGGGCAGGTGGGTCTGGTGCCATAGGGAGCCCCCAGGCTGGGTTGGGGGTCCTGCCAGTGGGGTATCCCTGTGCCCACACTATCCCTGATCTCCACTCAAGGCTGTGGGGCCAAAGCTGCCCCTGTGGCCTTGGGGTGGTGGGGGGCTGGGAGCATCTTCCCCTGCAAAGAACAGCAGGAGGGATGTGTGGTGTTCCTCACCCGAGCCCTTTTCTCCCCAGGCTGCTCTACAACCTGCAGTACCTGGGCCAGACCAGCATTGGGACGGTGAGGCTGTGGGGCACAGAAGGATGCCATGGGGTGAATCATCTCTTCTGAGTTTTTTTTTCATGAGCCCATGGGTTATTCCCTCTTTCCCCTTCTGTTCCAGTATGGTGGCAAAGAGGTGCTGGAGCAGGCCATCCCTGCAGTGCTGGAGGGGCACTTGGCAGTGCAGGTGAGTGATGGGGCTGGGGACATCCTGGGAAGGGCTCTGTGAGAGAATGCAGGGAAATGGGGTCTCTGCCATGGATATTTTTTTTCCTGCCAGCTCCAGGTTTGCTTGGCCTGGCTGAATATTTGCTACCCTGCCACCATTATGGGTTTTTTGCAGGTCAGAAGCATCTCTGCAGCCAGGATAGGAAAGGGCATTAAGGAAAAAACATACAAGCACCTGTGGGAAAGCACTTGGAAAACTGTGGGGAGGCTAAGCCTGGTTCCAGGGGTGCTTTAGGGCTCAGGTCACTTTGTTGGAGCCTTTGGTGGGTTATCTGTGAAAAGATGGAAGTAGGAGAGCACTGAGTGGTAAAAAAGGCAGCACAGGGAAAACATCTTGAAACAGCTGAGCTTGACTGTGCTTCATCACCTCTGTGTTTGGATAATCTCTGTGGGTAAGTGTCTTATCAAAACCAGAGCTCAGGGCTGTGCCCGTCGGGGCTTCTTCCCCCTCACCCCCCCCTTCAGGAGGTTTTATTTGATGTGAAGGAGGCAGAAGTCCTGGTGCAGGAGAAAGCGTCTTCCAAGGTAAGCAGGCGACACCCAAGCTCTGTGTGAGTCCCAAGGATGCCAGTGGGGCAGTGTGGGGTCCTGGGGCCAGTTTAAACCAGGAATGGGGCTGGCAGGGACTGCCTCCAGCCCCGTCCCCCTGCTGTGCCCTGCGCAGCTCCTGTGCCGCCATCCCTACCCCACCATCTCCTGCGTGGGACGCTGCACGTGGAGCAGCAGGATATTCGCCTTCTGTGTGGCGTGAGTGCTGCCTGTGGGCCCTGGGAGGGGGGGTACGGAGGGATGTGGGTCCTGGAAACCAAACAAGCGGGGTGTGGAGCAGCCGCGGGGTCCCCGATGCGGTTGCAGGGCAGGGCTGGGCTCGGGGCCGCGCGCTCTGCCGGCTGATGGACGTGTTTCCATTTATAGCTCTTCCCCGGAGAGCCCTGACGGGAGCACGTTCGACTGCCTGGTGTTTGCATCGAGTTCTGAGCAAGAATGCGAGGAAATCGTCGGGAGAATCGGTAAGGGAAGGTTTGTGCCTTCTGATACTGTCACAGCAAGACCGTGGAATACCAGGAATTGCTGGTTTCAGTCCACCACGTGCAGGATCTGACTTAATTCTTTTTGTTGAGGTTACTGAGATGAAGAGATACTTTGATAGTCTTTTTTTATTATTTTTTTTTAAAGGACCGCTAGACAATGATTTTATTTTAAGAAACAGCTTCTAGGCATACCCAGATGGTTCATTGTTTCCACCAAGAACTTGGATGAAATATTGTTTTCGAGGGATGTTATTTTAAACATACTTTTCCTGCAGGAGCCCAGCCTGCTACTGCAGTTCAGCACCAAACCAAGCATTCATAAATCCCGTCGCTTGGAATTTTTTTTCATTTGGCCTAAATGGAAGCTGCGTGGTGCTTCCTGAATTCCATGGGCTACTGAGGATCCTCAGATTTCCCGTGGGGAAACTGTCCATGGGGACATCCCTGCCAGCTGTCCCCTCACCAGACTGTGCCCCCAAAGACCTGCCAGGTGATTGACCTGAGATCACCAAGCCTCATCTAAAGTTTGAGCTGGTGCTTAACTTTGATTCAAAGCAGTTAAGTTTACAATTTAGATGCAAAGGAATCTTTTTCCCTAGAGGTCTGGCAATTAGGAAAATACTTGTTTAAAACCTTGCCTTGGATCATTTTAGAACTGGTTTTTAGTAGGTTAATGCTGTTAACCAGGGCCTGGGTTTGCTTGGAGTGGTGTAGGACAGGGAGGTGAGGAGGAAGTTGTGTAGGAGTGCGGGGTAAGGAGTGTCTGTTCCTCCAGCTGCAGGATTTAAGCACACGGAGTGGTTTGTCTGAGGAAGGAGAACCTCATGACGAGGCACTGGTGTCCCAGCCTCCCCCAGCAGCACATGAGGGATGCAGGCCCCGGCTCTCAGAGCAGGATTTGGGATGGTTTTCACACCAGTGTCACACCATCCTGGTGGGACAATCACGGGTGGTCACCGCTGACTTACAGCAGACACGGGTAGGAACTGCTGCTGCTCTTCCCTCTGAAGTGCCACTGCACTTTAATTTCGTTGGAATAAATCAAGCCAAGCTGGCTCAACTGCTTCCCTGTGCTGCTGTTCCATGACATCTCCAGCCCTACTAGTGCAGCCTGTTCTGTGAGGGCCTCACCATTCAATTTAAGTGTTAATTACCTGCTGTTCAGGTGCAGTCTGAGCACTTTCCTCCACCACAGCCCAACCAGGTCTGGCTGCTGAGGAACCTGCCTGAGCCGAGCCCCAAGTGAAGGTTTGAGTATAATCCCACTCTCATCCAAAAATCTGGAAATGAGACTCTCTCAGAGCACCCACCCCTTTGCTCAGCAGCCCATCTGCTGCCAGGGTGTATAATTAGCTGTTCCCCTCACACCCCATCCCACTGTGATTATCCGGGACTGTCACGCAGCCCAATCCCACAGGAACTCTCACACCCCCCACCCTCAGCACCGACAGTGCTTGGGAACAAGCAGGTGGCTTTGCTTTAACTCCAAAATAAACTTCCCTGCATCCACCAGAAAGGAGGAAAAAAAACCCTTTTAGTGCTGGAGTTGTGTTCTGATAAGCTTTAAAAGAGACTCCCAAAAAAAGCTGCTGCCAGCCTAGGCCAGCCCTCCTGGACCCCACAGCCGCTCTCACCGGCCCACTCAATGACTCCAGCTACAGAAAAACCTCCAAAATCCTCCAAAAACGGCCAAAAATTCTCCATTCTGTTGCCAGACAAGGTTAACTTTCCACAGCAGCAGTCCAGGATTACAGGGATCTACTGCTGACCTCAGGAGCCAAGAGGAAGCTTCTTCCAGCCCATTCAAAGCAAATGACAAAAAGACTCCTCACATGTGAATGTAAAACATTTAATTTAAAAATGTTGACACTACAATATATAAAATAGCTATTATAAATGCACATAGTGTATTCTATAGCTGCCAGGTTTACGTTTTTAGGAAACTGTAAGTTACACTGTGGTTAAGACTTGTAGTTTCACCCTCTGAAGGAAGTCCACATTTGATCACAGTGATGCATGGTCAGACTAACAGCCCCAATTGTTAAACACTTGGATCAAGTCATAACCAGTTTTATTGCAAAAGGACCCTGTACACATTTATATCAATTCTAGTACCTTACAAGTTTAGCTACCCAACAAGTCATTAACATACAGAAACATGCATGAGAAGCAAGAAAGAACACCCATCCCTTCTGCATATTAGCAACTTGTCACTCCCGAGCCCGAGGCTCAACATCACTGAGGTTTATGTGAACAGTCACTTTTAGCATTCATCCTGAGTGAAAGATGGAATGACTTAAGTACAAATGCAACATATTATAAACAATTTCTTACAAAAAAAGTCACAAATTAAAACCAAAGTATTTTACAGAATTAACTACAAAACACCATAAAAACAGCCTTCACTTAAGCCCTCTCTCCCCGTATCCTGCGAGCCAACTGGATATCTTTGGGCATGATGGTGACTCTCTTGGCATGGATGGCACACAGGTTTGTGTCTTCAAACAGACCCACCAGATATGCCTCGCTGGCCTCCTGTTTCAAGAGCACAAGAAGAAATGTCGTTAGAACCCCTCAGCGCAGCTCCCCCAGCGCCGCGGCCCGGCCGGCCCTCAGCAGTACCTGCAGCGCACCGATGGCTGCACTCTGGAACCTCAAGTCCGTTTTAAAATCCTGGGCGATTTCCCTGACCAGCCGCTGGAAGGGCAGCTTGCGGATCAGCAGCTCCGTGGATTTCTGGTAGCGACGAATCTCACGGAGCGCGACGGTCCCCGGCCTGGGTGGAGAAGGAGGGGGGGCGGGTGAGGCGGGGCCGGGGCTGCGGCAGCTGAGGCCGAGCCGCGGGCCTTACCTGTAGCGGTGAGGCTTCTTGACGCCGCCAGTAGAGGGGGCGCTTTTCCGGGCCGCCTTCGTGGCCAGCTGCTTGCGCGGCGCCTTCCCCCCGGTGGACTTGCGGGCGGTCTGCTTTGTACGGGCCATTTTTCCTCACTTACCTACGGCAGACACGTAACGCGTGACACGGGGCCCGGCTGTCCCCATCCACCCCCCCGCCTCGAGGCCCGGCGACACAGCGGCCAATCCCCTCAAGCTCCAGATGCCGGCGAGCTGCCCCCCTTCCCTCGCGGCGGGCAGGCGGCCAGCGGCCTCCCCCGGGGACAGGGAGGAGGAGTCACGGTTACCCCACCGCCCCCGCCTCGCGGCCTGGCCGCTCCCCTCCCCGGGGGGAAGCGCGACTGAGTCACAGCCGCCTCCTCCTTCCTCCCGGGGCCGCCCCGGGAGAGGAAAGGGGGGTAGGGGAGAGCGGGTGGGGGGATGGGAACCGGCCGTGACTCAGGGCACGTAGGCAAGGCCCGCTCCGCCGGCCCCGCTCCGAAAGGAACGAAGGCCGCGGAAGCCTCGCAGCACTACCGCCTGCCTCGGGGACGCGCCCGCCGCCCGGCACTCACCGCTCGGAGGAGAAGGAAGCGCCGCTGTCCGGTAGCGCTGCGCGCCGAAGCCGCTGATGCCGGTGGGCTCGACCCGCTCCGCAGCCGCCGCGACGCTCACTGCGCCCTCCCCGCCGCGGGGACGCAGCTTTTATATGGGGGGCGCGCGCGTGGCGTGGTGGCGTCACAATGCCCGGGAGCAACGCGCCGCGCCATTGGCCGGGACCCCCGCCGGCGCCGTTGCGTCACCTCACACAAAGGCCGTGCTCCGGTTCCCCCGCTCTGATTGGGCGCGCCGCTGGGCGCTGATTGGTTGTTAAAGTAGGCGCCCGATTGGGTGTTGCGAGGGGGGAAGGAGCCAATCGGCGGCGGGCGGTCGCTCTGCGCGCTGATTGGCCGAAACGGGGCAGGGTTTGGATCCTACCCTTTGTTGCGAAGCTCCACAATGGGAAGTCAATTGGAGCGGGGCGAGCGGCGGCCGCGCCGCGGGATCCTCCGGGCAACCCCCGGCCGGGCCCGGCCGACCCCGCCGCCAACCGCCCTCCCCGCGGCCGGAACTGCGGAGCCGCCCGGCGGGGGCTGCGAGTGGCCGCGGGGTCCTCCCCGCCTCCGCCCGCGCTCCCCCGGGAGCCGCCGGTGGTGCGGCCGCTCGACCCCCGCGCTCGGGGGTGTCGGTGGGAAGCCCCTGGCAGGGGACGGGGGTCTGGTCTGGCGGCGCCTCCGGTGTTTCTAGCCTGGGTTTGTCATTCCAGCAGCCAGGGAAGGGTTGTCACGGGACTTGGGTTCAGCATTGCTGGGCTGTGATCCTCCCCCCCCAGAGTCAGAGCCTGACCTCTGGCCCTGGGAAAGGAACGTGTGGGGGTTGGGGCTGGGCCTCTCTGAGCTTCAGTTCCCTAAATCCCACTGACTCTGGGGGTCGCCCCCATCCCTAACGCAAATCACTAAGTTTCCTTGCAAGTAGGAAACCAGAATCCATGTTCCCTGTTGGTACCATCTTAGCATTTATCTCCCTAAGATAAATAGCAATTTGGTGAAAAAAATAATTGTCTTTTGGGGCAAATTGCTGCCTTAAGTTCCACCTTGATTTATATCACTATTTTGCTGTATTTGTAGAGGCTCTGGAGGCAGGTCCCTGCCCCCCACGGGAAGGGTTCCAGGATCTGGAAGAACAGGTCCCAGATGCCCTGCAGTCGTAGCACGTAGAGAACATACAGGGAACACAAACAGACGCTCCCAAAGGTGTCTGTGAGCTTCCCAAACTGGAGCACAGCTGGAATCACCCGGGTTTTGCATCCTCAGGCTCTGGGGTCAGCGCTGGCGTGGTGGGCAGAGCTGGGATTGCTGGGAAAACGTGTTGGGAATGTGTTGGGAGCGTGTCCTGCTCCTCCACCCGCTCGGTCGCTCGGGCAAACACACCAATATGGTGCGACAGGACCACCACGTGAGCCCAGGCTGTTGTCTCCCACCCATCTCCTCCTGTCTTCATTTTCCAGGTTAATTTTCTCTCTCGTAAAGGGAAAAGGTTAATTATTTATCAAGACACAAAAAGCTGCGTACCCACAGAATGGCTTGGGAGGCTGCGGGTAAACACTCGCTGCGTTGGTTTGGAAAATGAAAAGTGGAGGATTTCCCTTTCATCTGGGTTGTTTCACGCTTAGGAAGAAGAAATTTAGGAACCGGTTCTGACGGTGACAGCTCTTAATATGTTTAATTTGTTCCTTTTAAGAGCTCCCTGCACTGTCACTAATGCCAGGAGGCCGGGTGGAATGTTTGTTGCTCCTGAGATGTTTCCTTTTCCATGTTTTCAGAGCAATGGCTGCTTAAACTCCTCATTTTGGAGATATTCTAGATTTTTTTGCCCTCCTGAAGCCTGGAGAAAAGCCGTGTGTCCTCTGGGATGGAACAGGCTGAGGGACAGGTGTGAACAGCAAGGCTGAGGAGAGCAAACCAGCACATGTCCCGACTGTGGAACGAGGGAGAACTGGGAGAGGAAACGGTGTCAGCACCGGATTGTAGAGCAGACATCAGCTACCAGGGATTGGGAGCCTGTGGTTCCCAAATCCCTGTGGACAAAGTGCAGGCTGGTGGTGTTTTCAGTGTGATTCCTGGATAATTGAAGGGTTTTCCTGCAGGTTCGTGGCTGACAGTGATTCTGGATCGGGGGTGTGTGGAGATATACACACGTATTGACTTTGGAAGAGTCCTGCTTGACCGGGAGCTGTGTCATCACAGTGCTCCAGCCTCCCGTGGAGGGTGGTTGGATGAATAACAAGGTACTGGTATCCTGTGACTTAATTCCTGCGAATGCCTGGGAATGAGCTACTAAACCACCCCAGCACAAGCCTGCCCGCAGCAGATGCTGAATCAGAGTAATTAAGAATTAAAAAAGGTGATTTCCCTCCCCAAACAGCCGCAGAGGCCTCAAAGTTTATTATTAACGTGTCCACCCTGCGTGTGCTGGCACAAAAAGAGGTGTTTGCCCGATAAATCCCGTGTGCCCTTTCCCACAGCGCTGGAGATCCCGGTGCCAGAAGCGGTCCTGTGTGGAGCCCAAGAGATCAAAGTCCTATTAAAAGAAACCCGTATCATTTCCTCTCCTGGGGGAGAAGTTAATTGGCAGGGGAAGCGCTGCTCCACACGGGAATTTCGGCCGATTCCTTGGACACGGCTCCTTCGGGTGGGGGTTTTCCCCCCAGGGGGCCTCAGGTGTGATCTGCCACGACCCAGCAGCCAGGTGACACTGGTGTCACCTGTTCCGAGGTAGGTTCTTGCTGGGCCTTCCTCCTCCTCCTCCTCGCAGTGCTGTTCCCAGGCGCTTCCTGCGCGGCGTTGTCCCGTGGGCGGGGAGGGCCGTGGAGGAACGACGAGAGGATGCCAACACTAAAATAACCCTCCCCGCGTCCACGCTCGGCCCCTGAGGCAGAGGAAAAGGGGGGGGGAGGAAGGAAGTGAGGCCGCCGGCCACAAATAACTCCGATCCACCCCCTCCGCGGCCCCCCGGCGCTGCCTCCGCCGCTGCCTGCAGGGGCCGGGCCGGGCGGGCTGGGCTACCCGCGGGGTTCGGTCCCGTCCCAGGGGCTGGGTGTCCCCCCAGGGCTCGCTGCAGCCCCCGGGGATCAGTGTTGTCCCAGGATTTCGGGTCCCGGTGTCCCTCCCGGCCCCGATCCCGCCCCACCACCGGGGGGCGCCCCAGCGCTCCACCCCCGCCTCCCCGCCCCGCCTCGCACTACAAATCCCGCCTCGCCCCGCGCGACAGGAAGCGTGGGGGCCGCGCCGCCGCGGGGCGCCCCTGGGAGTTGTAGTCCCGCCGGCCGGAAGCCGCCGGCCCGACGCGTCCCGCGCCGGCGGGCGGCGCGCGCGCGGCGGGACTACAAGTCCCACCCCGCCCCGCGCGCCCCGGCCGGGGCGGCAATGGCGGCGGCGGCGCCTGCGCGCGGCGCCCTCCGTGCGGACCGCGCAGAGTGAATAATAAAGGTCTCCTCGGCGGCGGCGGCGGCGGAAGGCGGCGAGAGGGGCGGGGGAGGCAATGTCCAAGGGCCCCGTGGCGGGTGGCCCCGCCGCGGCCGGGCCGGCGAGCGCCGCCAGCGCGCTGCAGGCGCAGCCCGAGAAGCCGCAGCACTACACGTACGTAGAGCCGGGAGCTGCCCCGCCGCCGCCCGCGCGCCAACACGCGCCTGACGTCAGCGTGCGGCGCGCGCGGGGGCGCGCGGGGGGGGGGGCGCGCGGGGCACCGGCTGGAACCGGCCACGGCCGGCGCGGGCCGGGGGAGGGGAGGGGGGCGTGAGGGGGGGGAGGATGGGGGAGGGAGAGAGGGAGGGGCGGGGGATGAGCGACAACCCCCCCCCCCGCCGCCGTCCTCACACACCTCCCCCGTGATGCACCGGGGCGGCCGCGCCTCCCCTGGAGGGCGAGGGGACCCCCCCGGTGACACCCCTGTGCGGGGGTGGGGGCCCGTCCCCTGGGCTGTGAGGGGATCGCCGGACCCTCAGCTGTCACCCCCGCCCGGGAGTGATGGGACCCCCAGAGCCTCGGGTGACACCCCTGTGAGGGGGTGCAGATCCCTCCTCCCGGTGCGAGAGGACCCCCCGCACCCACTGCTGTCACCCCCGGACCCTCAGCTGTCACCTCTGTCCGAGGGTGGGTGTCCCTCCCCTGGGGTGTGAGGGGACCTTCAGTTGTCACCCCCAGACCCTTGGGTGTCACCCCCTCCCAGGGTGGGGGTCCTTCTCCCCCTGTGCCACCTCACATGGTGCTGTGGTTTGGGCAGTTTTGGTCCTGGTGAGCTGCCACCAGGGCTGTCACCTCCATCCTCCACCCCCCGAGGGCTCCCAGGGGCTCCTGGGCACCTGTGTAGGGAGGTGTGAGGTGATGGGAGGTCCCCGGTCGGTGAGGGAGGGCTGGAGCGGGTTCCTCTCAAGGCAGGTGTCTTTGGGAATTGCACACATGGGGAATATCCCCACTGGAAGTGTTACACCGAAATCACGAGGAGCGTTTGCCCCGCTCCCACCTCTCCTTGCACCGCTCGGGCCTGATCCCGCTGTGTGTGTGTCACCTCTATCCCGGGGGATATTCCCTCAGTGAAGGCATATTTCTGGAATGTGTCTTCCCTAGCCAAAGGATACCATTTCATTGTGTTGTCCCGAGGGTGTACAACCCCTCGGAGCTGTGTGGAGTTGGCCAGTGTGTGATAAGTCATTTGGGTTGGAAGTTGTGGTGATGATATTCCCTTCTCCTTGTGCAAAAAGGATAACGGGGTAGATTGGGAGCGAGCGTTTTCTTTGTGACATGGGCTGGTGATGGACGTGTATGGATGGAAATAGGTCAGATGTTCCCTGCCCTTAAAAGAAGAAAAGTTTGGGACTGTTCCTCGTGAACAAAATATATGTGTTGAGCTGTTTGCCCTTATCATTTTAGGGTGTTGTCTGAAAATTGTCCCGCAAATACCCGTATCTCTGGCTTGTGTCGATGCCCCCACCCAAAGTGAGACGTGTGTTTTGTTAACTTTTAATTCCCATTTTCATAAAGTCGGTGGTGGACTTCTTCCCTGTGTCCACACTGGGATGTATGGAATAAAAAGAGCTTCAAGAAATTTGTAGACACTGATCTGTGCAACCTTTATGCTGGGATCACAGGCTGTTTGCCATCCCTTTCCTTCAGGCCGTTTGGAATACCAGGTCCATGGCAGAATGAGGGCTCCTGAGTTTTTTCTCCATTGTGAAGATCCTGTTGTGATCTTAGGGAGATGGCGAGTCACAGCCTCGTAGGTTATGTTATTTCTGGTGGGATCTGCAAGTTTGACAGCTTTATAGGAGAAATGGGCATGGAGGAGTCTGCTGGGAATGTTGCTGTAGAGGTAAAAGAGGGAACAGGAGCTGGCTGTAGAGGTGGAGTGACGCCAGTGATGGAGAAAGAATCGATCAAAAGTGAGAGGGAACACAGGGAGCTGAGTTAGAGAGTGTAAGCACACTGGGTGGAGGAAGATGAAGGTGATAACCTGGCTAAGCATGACCATGGAAACAAGGATATCGAGGATTAGGAAAAATAGAGGAAGAAAGAGTTCCAGAAATGGGAGGAGACTGGGACAGAGGAGGGAAATGGGACAGTGTGCAGCAAAGCTGGTGGTGAAATCAGCTTATTTCCAGGGGGCAAAACTTGTGTTTTTCAGATGGATGCTAAAAATACTTCAGTGAAAACAGTTGCAGAGGAGCTGAATAACCATAAGTGAAGGATGGGTTTGGGGCTGCCGAGTGCTGACAGCGGGATGCGAGCCATCCTTTGGAAGTCTTGGATTTCTGCACTGGGTCACATCATACTGTAAACCTCCCTCTGATAACATATGGGAACTTATTTGGTGGTCGTTCATGTGAACAAGTTGTATGTTGTCAAAATGTAAATATTTTCTTCCTTTTTTTTTCTTTTCCTTAAATACAGTTTGTTTCCATAAAATGACATGAAGGTTACAAGTTGTAAACTCGAGTAAGCTTAATTATCTGCATACTTTGCTGTTCCCTGGGGACAGGCAATCTGGTGCTGGGGATCTCTTGGAAAGTTTTCGGTTGTATACGTGAGGAAATGTTCCAGTTTCTCTATTAGTGTAGATTTCTAAACTCTTGGTGTTACTTGCATGAGATTTTAGTTACTTTGGACTGCAGTTCTGTCAGGGAGCCTTTGTATTTGTTTGGATGTGCAGCAAAGGGAAATGTGGGGAAAAAACAGAGCTGGTGATGCTCTCTCACACCTTTGGCACTGTTTGTTAGCGGAAGAAGAGCCTGAACTTCCATGATCTGTGTCCTTTGGTGGCAGTTGTAGCGTGCAGCTGGATACTCCTGGAGACAAGTCCCTGGTATATGCCAAACTTTGCTATTTAATTATGGATGGCATGTTTCTCATCTGGGGATCTGGTATTCCGTGTGGAGAACCCGAGTGAGTAATGAAACACCCCACGGCTGCTGTTGTGTTCTCTCTGGGTTGCTGGATTAGGCATCTGTTCATGGGGCTACTTCTTGTGATCCTGCAGCTCTTGTGGCAGGATGAGACCAGCATCTTCCTGGGAACCACAGAGTGAGACAGGCTTGTTCCTGGGGTACCTGGAGGCTTTGATGTGCTCTGCAGGGCTTGGATGGCGGTGAGAAGTGAATTTGGCTTGGGTAGGCTCTGTCAAACCTCAGCTGAGGGTTGGCTCTGCACCGTTTCTCAACTCTGACTGGCACGTTATTTCTTCTGTCTTTAATGTGTGTCTACAAATGTGGGTGAGAGGCTGAGTTCAAAGAAACTGAAAGCAAGTGATCAGTCACTGGAGTTGTAGGTATGGGGTGCTCTGGTGTAGTTTTGTTTTGGTACAGTCTGTTCATTCTTCGCTGCTGCCTTGTTGGTTTCAGTCAGACTGGATGCCTTAATTGTGAATTGTAAAGATTGTTTCCACTGCTTGGGTGTTTATTGATCTGGCAGAATTTAGATAAGTGAAAGTGGAGCAGTCCTTTGTTCACTGTGCATTCACCTGAAAGTCAGACAGTTTAATAACTCTGCAGGAAAGCAAACGTTCGGGTGGAGATAAATTAACCCATTTAATAAAAAAAACAGAGAGTCCCTTCAGTCGAGTCTGTTCAGAGCACACACGCTCAGAAACGGGGCTGAAAATATCCTGATTTAGGTGATAAACTTTGAGACACAGATTTATTGGGCATAACCCGGGTCATTCCTACTCAAGACAGTTCTCTTGAGTGTCTTAAATATGAGCAGCCATCCTAGAAGTGAACTTCAGGATTCCACATCCCCACCGGCTGTACCCTCACTTGGGTTCTGGACGAGATGCCTGGGAGCACACCCTGCCCTCCTTTGCACTGCAGCAAGATAAGCTTTGTGATTATGCCTTTGCGGCATAAAAGGCAAAAAACTTGTCTTTCCTTTTGCACGAGGGGAGGAATTGTGGGAAATTCCTGAAGGATTAGTATCCTGTAAGTCGTGCTGGAGCTGCATCCACATGGCTGGTCGGGCTGTCATGCAGTGACTGCTGGCTTGTGCTCACCCAAGCTTTGTCTTGCAGCTACTTCAGTGCCATTTAGAGGTGCAAGAACCAGAGCACTCGAGTGAAGGACGTTATAAATGGGGATGAAAATCGGGTTGCTGTGATGCTTTGGTTATAGCTGAAATAAAAGACACTCTTGTGTCTGTGTCGTGCCTTGGCCGGTGCTTTCTCAACCTTAAATGGGAACTCAGATTAGGGCAGTGATGGAAATGCGGGTGAAGAAGAAATAAAAATAGCAAGATCATAGGTGTGCTTGGATTCCAGTGAAAAGCTTGCATGCAGAGTCTTATTTATCTCAAAACCTTACGTTTAAATTCTTACTCCGAACCAACGGCACGCGAAAACACACCTCGGAGCGTTCGGAGCAGCACAGAGTAATCCTTATCTTCTCAGCCGTGGTCAGTGTCTTACCACTGGCAGGGCACACACAGGGTGTCTGATCTCAAGTGTGCAGACTGAGTGTCTGTGAAAGAAAACCAAAAACCAGATGTGTAGCTAACACATTCTCAGAGCTACCGCTCGCTCTTCCAGGGCCTGTAGCATTTGTCTGCGCAGTCTGTTAGATTGTGCATCTGATGTGCTTGAATTGGGTGGTCCTCACAACCTCGTGGATGGGTTGAGGCTTTTAGAATTGTTTTTAGAAACCTTTTGTGCTCTTTTCAAACCACTAGAACGCTTAAAATAACAAACTGTTGCCCTAATTCTGCTTCAGTTTTGCTGGTGATAGCCCTTAGATCAATAGGCTGATATGGACTTATGCAAAAATAGAAACTAGTCCGTTTGTTTAAATAAAAAAAACAAACAGCAAAATAAAAACAAACATGAAACAAAATGAAGAAGAAAACCCCAAACAACACAGAAAACAAAAACAACAAAAAGAAACCCGTCTGCTTTTAGGTTTCAGATTTGGTAATGCCCTTAGGGGAAAACACAGAATATATAAAATATATTATTATTGTATTGTATGTAATATTAGGTAATATCTTTAGGAAAGCACAGAATAAGTCAATACTTCTAAACCTGGGACTTACCAGTGTCTACTACATCATTACCTGCAAAGTCAGCTTATCAGGGAAGTATAAGCTGGTTATTATTGCTG